TGGGATAAATGATTTGTAATACCTTCATTACTGTAATATTGCAATATGACAGTATAGCCAAAATAATTGGAAAGTGAAATGAAAACTTATGTTTACACAACAGCCTCAGTGTACAGCATAATGGTTAGACAATCATTTAATTTACAATAAATGTAATTTTTACTTAGGATATTTTTAACTTGCAATGGGTTTATAGGGACATAAGATGTAACCCCATCATAAGTCAAGGAGCATCTGTAATCTGAGTTTCGTTGATTGGTCCAAAATTCATTTCATTTTTTCTTTTCAGTTTAGCTCCACAAGCACTGGGCTAGAGAGATGAGGTTGCTAGTCAGTGGGGGAGACAGACATACCAGCAGCTACCAGGGAGTAGGGAGAGTGCTGTGATGAGGTTCCCAGAGCACAGAGGCGTCCAACAGCACAGCCTAGTGGGCAGGCCTTGTATTGCACTGCCCACCTCTGAAGCTAGGTTGGCTGTTGCACCTTGGACAAGTTACCTAACTAACCTCTCTTGCCTCAGGTTCCTCATCAATAAAAATAGGAATAATAATATTTACCTAGTTCATGGAGCTTCTGTGAGGATTCAGTGAGCTAATAAAGCCCGGCCGGGCTTGGCTCAGCCGTTGAGCATCAACCTAGGATCCAGGAGATTGGGGTTCGATTCCTGGTCAGGGCACATGCCTGGGTTGCACGCTCCACCCCCAGTCGGGGGTGTGCAGGAGGCAGCCGATCAATGACTCTCATCATTGATGTTTATCTCTCTCTCTCCCTTTCCTCTCTCTGAAATCAATCAAAAATATATATATATATATTTAAAATGAGCTAATAAATGTTAAAGAGCTTAGAACAGGTTCTGGCACCAAGTGGAATATTAATGTGTGCTTCTGTTATTCCCATTTTATAGATGAGCAAACCAAGGCTTAGAGAAATTAATTATGCTCAGGGTCACACAGCTAATTAAGGTCATACAGTTGGAGCCAAGTTTGAGTGCAGGAAATATGACCTCACAGTCCATGTTCTTAATTATTGACTTCATTTGTATGCCTTTGTAAGACTGTCAAGTTTCAGAGAAGAAAAAAAATGTTCTGTCAGATCTTGGTGTGGAAAATCCAGCCTTCTTGCATACAATTCCATACATGGCTGAGTCTGTGGCTTGGAGGAAGCATTTATGCCCAGCTACTGGTTGGGGAAGGTTTGGAGTCTCCATCTGGGGTCTTCACACTTTGGTTATTATCAGCTTGAGTTGAGACAGTGTTGGGTGTTGAGACTACCTTCATAACAAGCACTTTTACACCCTTGACCTCATGTGATCATGAACAAGGGAAGACAGGAAGCATTTTCCAGATGAGGAAACTGAAGGACAGGGAGATGACCCTTCAGTCCCTACTTGTCTGAGTATACATGCAGCTCATCGGTGACACAAGGTGCCCATCTGACCCTGGTGGGACACCTACCCTTAGCTGTCACCTGACCCTCCTTGTCCCTTCCATGAGAATCATAGGAATAGCCCGAGATAGGATGTCACATGGCCTGTATCCCTGGGTTCTCTGTGCATACTGTCCCCACCTCCTTGGCCAGACTGGCTGACCAGTCTCTGGGTTCCAAGGGCCCAGCTTCTGTGCCCTAGAGCTGAAGATGATCTGAATAAATCAAGGAGCACGTGGGATTGCTGGTTGTTTGGCAGCTCTGACTTGCTGTTTGGACCAGTTCTCAAAGTGTGGTCCTGGATCAACATCTCCTGGGGACTTGTCAGATTTTGGGCCCTGTCGCAACCTAGTGACTCAGAAATTCTGGGAGGCAGCCTAGCAAGCTGGGTTGTAACAAGCCCTCCAGGTGTTTGAGAACCAGTGGTTTAGACAAAAGCACCTGCTATTTGGAGTTGGGCACCAGAGTTCAAACCCTAACTCTGCCCCGTCTTGCTGTGTGGCCTGATGCAGGTCACTCAACGTCTCTGTTTTCTCATCTGTAAAATGGTACTCGTACACTGTGAGGAGGTTTATGTGACCCTTTGCAGGAAAGGTGCTCTGCACAGGACCTAGTGTGTAGCTGGTTGAAACACAGGCTGAGAAGCTGCCTGTTCCCTGTTGGTGCCTGGCTTCTCTGACCTTGTGCCTGGCCTTGGCCTTGCCTGGCAGGGAATGAGCCTCTGACTGCAAACACAGATGTGGCCAGATTCAATGTTGCCTGGGTCTGCCCTCCTGGGACAGTGGAGCTGCCTCTGTCCCTGGTCCAGGTCTGTCCACTGGGGATCCAGGTCTGTCCAGTAGGGCACTGTGAGCTGCCTCCATCCCAGCCTTGGGCCCTCTTACTAGCTCCCACCAGAGACCACAGAGGTCCAGCCTGGAGGTCCCTGCTCCCTCACATGGGAAAACTGAGGCCCGGGGAGGAGCACACACCTCCTGCAGGTGTGTAGGGAACCTGGGAGGGGCATAGGCCTGCCTCACCTAGGGCAGAGCTGTCTGGGAGGGGAGCAGAGTAGGGCGGCCACCACCCTGGAGAGAGCTGGGGCTATGAGGGTCAGGGAGGAGAGGTGGCTTACAGGTACCTCCTGGACAGGGTGCCTGCCTGGCAAGGTCCCCTCCTTCTAGACACTCCTGAGGTTATCCCCACTTAATGGAAACTGAGACTCAGAGAGGCTTCAGGTCCCACAGGGGCAGAGGTCCAGCCTGACCTGGAGGTGGGAGAAACAGCTCAAGGACCACCTAGTTCCTTGCGCCTTAGGGCCATGGGGCAGCGTTAGAAGACCCTGTCTTCCCTGATTTCCTGAGGCTTGTAGGCTGAACTCCAGGATCCACTACCTACACTCTCAGGGGAACATCCTGCCCCTTCCTCTCTGGCTGCCCCTGCCGTGTTGTCAGGATGACTGTCCTTCCCTGGCCTACCTGAGCTTCCCAAAGACAAATGCAGTCCCTTCTTCATTTCTGTCCTGGCACCACCAAGTCTTGCACACAGTAGGTGCTCAATAAGTGCTTGGTGAATGAACGAAGCTCAGTAACATAAATAGGGAGGGATCCAGCCAATTTCCTGCCTGGAGGAGCTACTGAGGGTCAGGCCTCACCAAGCTTCCCAACCACTTGCTTTGTGACCACAGGCATGCCACTTCCCCTCACTTGGCCTGTTTCCCCATGAATGCAGATTGGTCAGGTGACCCACAGGAGACCTTCTCAACCTCCCCCATTCCTATCCTGATGGATCGCGAGGTTTCTCTCAGGCCTGGCCCCCGGTATCCAGGGCCTTGGCACAGTCCACAGGCCACCCAGTGAAGGCCAGGCAGGGATGGGGCGAGGCCTTGCATGTGTTTAGGTGAATACAGACCCTGCAGTGAAGCTAGGGACACAGAGGCCAGCCTTGTCCTGTCTTCAGGGATCTCAGAAGGCCCAGCTTTAAGCTTCAACAGAACCAGATTGACTAAATATTGCTTGTCTTCCTGGCATTATCAGGGGGTTCGGAGAGGGGAGATGAAATACCCCATCCCAGCCCTGTGCTGAGGAGAGGGAACTGGGACAGGCTGCCTAGGGCCCCAGGAACCCAAGGGTGGTGTAGACACAGCTGTGATCCAGGGGGAGAAAGGGCAGCTTGGCCCGGGCCATGGCTGTGGGGAGGGGATGGAGGGCCGAAGAGAAGACTTGGTGGCCCTCATGGAGGGTGTGGTAGCCAAGGGTGCCAGAGGGTCCTGGCTGGGGGCTGGGAGAATGGGGTATCACTCAAAACCATCCTGAGTTCCTTACTCTCACCCTCCAACTGGGAGGGCAGGTACCACTCTTTCCTGGGGAAACTGAGGCCTACATGGAATTAAGGCTCCCAGCTCCCCCGAGGGCCAGAGAGGAGTGGGCAGGTGGCCAGTGAGGGCCTTTGGGATTCCTTGCAGGAGCTCTGGGGCTGGCAGGAGGCTGAGAAAAGGACCTCGCTGAGCAGCAGCTGTTTCGTCCAACTTCTGTACTCGCCCCTTGCTCTTTATCAGTCAGTGGAGGGATCCAGGAAGGGCTTGCTCTTAAGAACTCCGCAGATTCGGCTCCAAGTTGCAGTTCTGTCGGGACTGCGGGCAGTTCGCTGAACTGGAGTTCCCAGACCTGTGTCCTCTTCTGCAAAGTGGGGTGACTCCAGCCTCCCCCAAGGGTTGTCTACAGTGCATGAGCTCACCACATGCCCTGGAGCCTGCTCTGGGCCCTCCCTACACCCTGTCCTGTCTCTCCATGGTAGCCTGGGGCTGGCAAGGTGTAGGCTGGTGTCCTCCCTGGGCAGCAGGCAGTTCCCCTGGGCTGTGACTCATCCCCAGAAGTGGAGTGCAGGGGCCCTATCACCCATCAGATCAGGTGGCTAGGTGACAAAGATTCGTTCAGGGCCCTTCGTGAACGGGCAGTGACACTGCAGTGGCAGCTGCCCACCTCACTCCTGGCTCCCTGTGAACTCAGTGCCCGGATGGGGTGCTTTTCTGGGCAGCTTCACCAGGTTTGGTGAGTGTGGCCACGGCAGCCTTCTCATCTCCTTGCTTCACTCTGGCCTTTCTTCTCACTTCACCCACGTGAGCGTGGAGGGCTGAGATTTGACTCAGCAGAATGGCCCACTGGGCCTCCTCAGGTGAGTCTGGCTCTTGGAGCCTGTTCCTTGGGGGTGTTTGGAGATGGGCACGTTCTGTGCAGATGGTGTAAGAGCAGAGTTCAGGGCCCAGCGCACAGCAGGAGCTCAGGAAATGTTCAGGGAGGCCCGGCCAGAAGTGGTCTCTGGTGTGGTCGTGCTGTCTGGGCCTCAGGAAGGGAGGGAGATGCCAGCCTGCTGCCCACATTGGGGAAGCCTAGGCCGCACAGTGGCAGGTTTGGGGGAAAGGGGAACCCTGAGGGGCTCAGGTGCCTCAAAATCTACCTCTGGTGTAGCAGGGGCAGTGGGACAGGGACACAGCCCCTTGGGCAGCAGCCTGCCTAGGATCTCACCCAGCCCCAAGGCTGGTAAGTGCCAGCACGTCTAGCAGCTGAGGTGAGCGTGAGGTACACACATGGCCCAGAGACTGTCACACTCACGAGATCAATGGTTTATTGATTCTTTTCCTAAAATACTATACATTTAAAGAAACTCCTGAACTGAAAAGACCTGACAATTTTTGGTAATCTGTAGCAAAGGTATGAGGATTTCTGCTGGTAAGTCTTCAAGATAAACACATACACACATTCACCTTCCAAGCAAGACGTCATGCTCACTGGAACATAGTAAATGCATAGCTTGTGATGGCAGCGGCCACCTCTCCACGTCTGTTACACAAAATAAAAGCTTTCCCCCTCCCCCCTCCCTGCCCATGATTACAGTGTAGCTTCCTGCTGCAGCACATCTGCTCCCTGATGACCAAGGACACTCAGAAGAGACCCTTGTGCTATGGGGTGAGACCCAGCTTTTGTTGGCTCACAAGGAATATGGGTGACTGAAGTCTGCAACTGCTGGGAAGACCCGGAGTTTTACAGTGTTCTGCTACGGAGGGGACGAAGGCTAGTCAGCAGGTGGACCCACAGCTGGCCAGTGGGGCAGACTTCCCTCCAGCAGTGTCCACTTCAGAGGCTCAGGGCCCACATCCTGAGCCTGGAGCAGCCAGGCCTGGGTCCGAATGCCACGGTCTTCAAGCAGTTTACACATTAAATCCACTGTCAAGAGCCTTTAAATCTCATGAAAACAGTAGACAAGCTCTTTAGATTCTCTGAATATCGAGTAATATATACAGATAGACACCAGGACAAGACAGTCGAACACACAGGCTCTTTGATCTATAGGTGCCTTTGCCTGAAAAGCTAGGTCTTTTCAGTGTAGCCTCCACAGCACGGACAGTTACTAATCTGCAAGAGCCAAGTTTTAAGTATGAAGAGTGGAAATAGTTTTTAAATATGGTGACTCTGGGGAGTACTACAGGCAGCCATTTCTGACACCCACACATTCACAGCAGAAACCCAAACATAATGTGGTCCCTTCTTCCACTGTGATCTGCCTCAAAGGTCTTGTCTAAATGCACCAGGCGCTCGCAGCTGGCCCAGGCAGTGGCGGTTGAGTAACAGTACAACATGAAACAGGTACCACTCTCACGCCTGTGTACAGCAGTCTGTGCCATAACTAAGCCTAAGTGAATGGATGAACAGGCATTCAACAAGTACAACTGGTACACAGCCTTTAAATTAAGAACCTCAGAAAATGGCATGTAAGTTTGTTCATTTAAGCTGAGGGTGATGAGCGCATCAGAGAAAGGAATCAGTGGAAGAATCAGTATAACCCACCAGACGCAGAGGAGACGCAGAAAGAGGTCAAGAATACACAGGTCCATGATAAGCCACACGCGGGGAGCGGGGAGCGGGCAGGGCTGGGGACGTCGGTTGTACTGCATCTTCCTGTGCTCAGCTCTCTCCGTCTGCGCCGTAGAAAGGCAGCCAAGTCCTAGGTGAAATGACCAGCTCATCCGTCTTCAAGAGACACCATGAAGCCAAGAGCAACAGAACCATCATCTGCAGGAAAAGGAGTGGACGCCCACACGGCTGGCTGGAGGTGCCAGAGTGCTGCCCAGGCTGACGGCTAACGGAGTTCCTGGGACCGCACCCCTCCGCCAGCCAGCCCACTGGGCTGTCACTGGATCGCCTCGACGTAATTCGCTGGGTACAGGCCAACCTGCCCATTGTCCAAGCGTCCCTTGCACCAGCCCTGCTCATCCTCATCCTCTATCTTGGTCAGCTCGTCCCCTGCAAGACAGAAAGGGAGGGGCCTTGGTAAGCCAGCACGTGACACACTGACCACCGGTCAGCCTCCTTCGTGTCTTAGCCCCAGCCCGTAGGGCGTCTCTAACTTGGTGGGAAGGGCAGGCCTCCAGGGGTGAGGGGAGGCAAGGGCCTGCTCATTTCCCTACTACACTGCATTTTGAGCTGCCTTCTCGGGCCCCTCTGCAATCTAGAGAGAGATCTGTCACGGAGTCACCCTTCCTAAGCCAGCAGCTCCTAAATGCCACAGTGGCTCAGGGACTCCACAACTAAAGGCTGTAGGCCCTGTGCCTTCCTGATCCGCCAGGCCAGGTCAGAGGACTCCTTCCATGGGGCCACCTCCCTCCCGAGCCCCGCCCACTCGCTCTTGTCTCCTTCAGCCTCGTTGCCATGGTCTCAGGCCTCCTTTAATCTGAGTTCAAACTGTAGGGGTGGGCACCCATCATTCTATCCCCTGCACCCAGCTCAGAGCCTGTCCTCTGACTTAAAAAACCACCCCCACCCGGCACTCCAAGGTGGAAGCCGTGAGCGTGGTTCTGGAGTCTCCCCATGGTTCTCTGTGTTAGGTGGTTTGATTTACCTTTTGTTGGTTCAGACATGAGGGAACCCCTTCCTCAGGCCAGGTGCTGGGTACTGGAGGAGACTCAGAGATGAGAGACAGAAGGAGCCCTGGTCCCTTAAGGGGACGGACCAAGGGACAAGGGCCACCGGCGTGGTCAGGGCTGTGGTGAGGGAAGGTCCAGGTCTGGTNAGGAGACTCAGAGATGAGAGACAGAAGGAGCCCTGGTCCCTTAAGGGGACAGACCAAGGGACAAGGGCCACCGGCATGGTCAGGGCTGTGGTGAGGGAAGGTCCAGGTCTGGTGTTTGCCTGTTCAGGGCAGACAGAGCAGCCCAGGGCCAGGGGACAGGTGAGGAGCCGCCTGGGCTCTGGCTGTGAGCACCTGGCAGGGTCAGGGCCGGGGCGGAGAAGAACGGCAGCCCGGGTGCAAGTTTGTCTTTATTCAGTCGGCAGCTTTGTATTTCTCGTTGGCATTTTGGTCCCTTTTTCAGGCTTGGTTGCAGTTTCATGCCTGTCTAGCAACACTTGCCCTGTTTTATTAGCAGCAGTACTGATCAAGACACCTGTGGGCCAGTACCCAGGGGTGCCAGGGATCCCAGGGCTGCTGGGTTCAAACCCCAGAGCTGCTGTCATGGGCTAGGAGACCTGGCAAACTGCTGCCCCCTGGGCCCTGTCTCCTCATCTGTGGACAGGGTGCTGTGGGGACAGGGACAGTGCCTGGTGCACCATTACTCCCACATGACATGGCCATTCCCCCTGGGGCTGGGCCACAGATGGGCCCTCCCCCACCCCACCAGCCACTTCTGTCAGCACTGTCGTGTGAACTGGACTCAGCAACATCATGGTGAATGCAGGGACTGCAGGGTGAGCAGTGTGAGGAGCAAACCTCCATCTGCTCCCATCCCCTGGCCCTGAGTGTCCCAGCACGGTTGGCGCTGTGACCCTGGTTTCTCTCATCCTGCCTGCCCAGGCTGCTGGGCTCCTAGGCACACAGTGAGACCCAACAAGGTGATGACCTCAGTGCACCCAGGACCCAGAGAAGTGACAAGCAGCCAGAGCACACAAGAGACAGAAGGAAGCAGCACTGCGGGAACTAATGCCACATTGTGAAAAAGACAACACAAGACAAACTGACAGGAAAGCCTCCAAGTTGTAAACGTGAACTGGTGACTAGAAACACTCCTTTCAGTCAGTTTGCTTCTGACAATTCACTCAGAGCAGAAGGAAATATTTTAAATCTATAAAATGGCTGAATAAAGAACCTAACAGGTAAGATTGAGAAAGAATTACAAATATAAGTAAATCAACAAACAAAGAAGGAAAAGATGTCAGGAAACCAAAGATGTCAGGAAACTGGACTAAATGCTTAAAGGGCACATAAGAACTTTCTGCAACCAGCTGGGGCGCCTAAGGACCAAGCCTGGGGTGGAGTGGCAAGGGACAACCAGCTGGCCTGCTGAGTGCAGAGGGAGGGAGGCTGAAGGCTCCTCTCCCCAGGCTCCCTGAAGGATGGTTAGGAGCAGGGACCCTCAGACACAGCTTCTCCTGCCCCCCCCCACCTGCTTAGGGGGTCAGATGTAGGGGTCTGTCTCAGAGGTGTAGCCCTTAGAGGGGTGATGCTGGAACTGGGGTGGCTCTTAAGAGGCCACACTGTGTTGCTAGGCCACTGGAACCTCCTTAGACTCTAAATCTTTTCAAACTGCAATTCATCTTGGTGAACTGCAAGGTGCTGGGTGGTCCTAGGGATTAGCACTTCCTGCTCCAGTGCCCTGCTGTGCCCAGGCCTTGCCCAGCTAGGGGTGACATCTTAGGCAAAGGCACAGGGCACCTCCCTGTCTGCTAAGCTCTGGCATTGAGCATCTGCTACTTCTGAAGTGGGGGGACCCACACATGAAACTAGAAGGAATTTTAGCAAACTTTAAGTAAAACAAGCCTCCCCAGCAGGTTAGCAGCATTCATCTGGATGCCAGAGGGGAGCCACCTACCAGCCTTGAAGCTCAGCTCGTCATGCTCTTGCCCCTCATAGTCGTAAAGGGCCCGGACCCGCACTTCTGTCCCCGAGGTGGCATCCTCATCAAACGGATTGGAGTCCCCATTGGCATCCGTGGAGGAGAACGGGTTGTTAGACTCGTCATCTGACCAGTCAGTGGGGTAGCTCTGCGTCTTCTCGTAGCTGCTCACGCTGCAAGAAAGGGTGGACCAGGACCCTGAGCATGGGGCTGCCAGGGGCAGGAGGCCCTGGGGCTGCGCTGGGCACTCCTTCCGCAGGAGCACAGCCCCCTCAGCATCATAGGCGGGCAGGCTCCCTGCCGGGGCCCACACCAGCTCCTGGCAGAGGCAGGGTCATGGCTCCAGCAGGGCCACCCAGCTGGCCTGTCTTCCTGTGCGGAGGCCTTGACTATGGTTAATGGAGGACAGACAGAAAGCGACCACAGACGGTTAACTGGTGCCCCCCTCCCTGAGGAACTGAAAAGCCAGAGACTGTCCACAGCTGGCAGCCGGGCACCGCCGCAGGCTTCATGCACTGCTCTGAGAGCCACAGGACGAGACCCTGGGCAGAGACGGAGAAGGACAGAGCGAGTGAGGAGGAAACCAGAGGGAAGCGTCTGTTCACCAACTTTTTGGCCTTAACGTCCTCCTTCTCACTGACGGTGCTCCCCGTGTCGTCCTCGTCCTCGAAGGGGTTGTAGCTGGACAGTGACTGCGCTGACCGTGTGGGGATGCTCGGGACACTAAGGTCGCTATGGGGAGAAAGAGAGCTTTCAGGGGACCCCAGCTTGGCAGCCCGAGGTCCCGGGCGCTCCCAGCTGCAGGGCTGCAGGGCCAAGGCTAAGGCACAGATCAGACGGGAGGGACATGCTGCCTGAGCAGAGAGTGGTTTCAGCAAAACACCCGCAGTACTCCGGCTGTTACACACACAGTGTCTGAGAGCAGGTTTGCACTCTCCCTCGCATCTGGATGCACTGTCCCAAACAGGAACCCTGGGGGAGCCCTCGGGGGTTCTGTCCAGTCCTCTACACTCCTGTGAGCCGGCAGGCAGACAGCCTGTAGGGCTCGGAGCCCCGCTAATGAGAGGCAGCCTCCGGAGCTCTGCAGACCCCACAGCACAGCGCACCCCCTCCTGACTACTAACAGGTCCAGCAGCCTCCTCCTTGGTTCTTCTGGGCTTGGAGCTTCCAAAAGCAGCACCGGAGCCCCCTGAACAACCCTGTCTAGGAAGAAAGAACCACTTTCATGCTCCAGAGAGAGAAAACCCATCTGTACAACAATGCCAACTGCCTACTGTGTGCCAGGCCTGGAAGGACCAAAGAGAAATTAGACCCAAGCCTGGCCTGGGGGCTGACAGCCAGGGGTGAAGGTTTGCAGGAACTGCAGGTGCTAAGCACAGAACAGATGGTAAAGAAGACGGGCCCCCAAGAGCCCGGCACCCCACCATGTAACTCTGAGCTGAGGGGCCTGAACACTAAATCCCAGGACAGAGCTCTGGCGGCCAGCTCCACCTCTGTGGAACAGGCACTCAGAGTGCTGGATGCATGGCTCAGAGCTGGGAGGGAGGGGAAGAAATGCCTCAAATGTCACCTGAGTGACCCCACATGACCTCACCAACTTCAGGCCTGGTGAAGGGCACTGGACCCCAGCCTGCTTGCCGCCAACACCTGGGCCACATGTCCGAGACCACCAGGCCCCCCTCGGCACCTTTCTCTGACTTTCTGAGGGGGCTGGTCCCGAGCAGCTGAGTTTGTGCAGCAGCCCAGGCAGACTGGGGTGGCAGCTCACCCTCCCCGTCACACAGGTGCTGGCATGATCCCTGGGATAGTGCTTACTGCTCTAGTCACTTAACCAGGCCCACTGCCCAGATGGCAACAAAGGAGCCGAAAGACAACATCCATATCTGCCCAGGGTATCCGGGTGGGGGCGTCAGTGCCTGGGGCCACAGAAAAGCCCCTGGAGGCTGTGCCGAACCGCTCCCAGGGAGGGTAGCCTGCAGCCACAGCTCTGCTGAGAGTGGCAATGCCTATCTGATGGGGACTCTGCGGTGGGCACAGGCCTTGTCCAGCACACTTTCCAGGAGGTTCTCATGATGTCAGTGCTACCTCTTCTATCCAAACTATGAGAAATAACCCAAGGCTCTCAACAAAGAGGTGATTTCAGAAAGGTGACACCTGACAGTGCCCCCCCTCCCCCGGCACCTGCATACAGCCTGGGGGACGTACAAACCTGACTAGGATACCTGAACCTGCCTGAAGGACACGGACAGTGACTTCCACCTGCCTGTGTGCACCACTGGGGACACATAATGACCAACACCTGACATCAGCTCCTCCCCTCACTTGGGGGCCAAAGCATGTTTGTGGCAAAGGCTCCCTCTCTGGATCTTTCTGCAGCTCCACTACCTGGTGAACAGCTGATCCTCCCCAGAGATGCCCTGGGGCACCTGCCCACAGAACTCAGATGCCCAGGGAGCATGGGGTCCCTGTGAGGCCCCACTGGGGACTCTCCCAAGTGTCCAAGCCAAGGAGTGGTGGGGCAATCCTAGCCCATGTAGAGGGCCCAGGGATGGAGGCTGCCAGTACCCACCTGCTGGGCTTGTTCTGCAGAGCCTGGTCGCCTGTCTGATTGATGCCTGTCAGAGTGACGCCATCACTGGGCTTCTTCTTCTCTCGCCGGCTGAGAGTTCGGTTCATATCTGCAGACCACTCCTGGGCAACAGGCCCCAAGGGAGAAATCGGGAAGGAAGTTCATTTGTTTGAGGCCACATCAATCTAAAACATGGGGCAGGGGGCTTGGCCTTCAAGCTGAAGACCCTCCTGTCTATGCCCTAAATTGAACCTGAGCAAGCCTGTGACAGGGAAACGAAACCCTGGGTGCACATAACATCAGGGGCTCGGTGGCCAGTGCATCACCAAAGGGGCAAATAAGCTAACGGGCCACTCAAGTCTCCAAGGAGTGGCGCCCTCCCCTGGCCCTCTTTGCTGTTTTGTCAATCTAAAGGAGCGGGGCAGGGGGGGTAGGGGGAGCTAACAAAGCAAAGTATTTATCTCCCCAAAGGTTCACTATTTCCCAGCATGTGAACAGTTTAATCAAGTGCCCTAGAAAACACTGGGAGCAGGGGAGAAAGAAGGGGCTGTGGCATGATTTTCCAGAAAAGCATGTGCACACACAGTTGATGAATTCTCCCTCCCACCCGACTGCAGCCACCATCAAACAGCTTTAACCAGTTAGCACGCCATGCCACTCAGTCCCCAGCTTTCCTCACGTGCCGTCACAGAACCTCAAGGTTAGACGCCATCTTAGAAACGTCAAGTCTAACAATTTCTCAGGTGAGGAAACCAAGGCTCAGAAAGAAAAAGTAACTTATCCACACAGAGTTAGTGGCAGACCGCGTCACCTATTTATTCTCAATTGAAATAGGTGACTGAGAACTCAACTGGAACTTGAGTCCCCACAGTGACCTGAATATAAATCTGTCCTGACTGGATGGCTTGCAAGGCTGATGTGACAGCCCCAGACCAACTGTGAAAGGAAGGGCCAGCTGTTAGCCTGGACACGTTTACAGAACCAGGCTATGGACACCACGCACAGACCCCCATGGGCTGGACACACCCTACAAGAGGTTTGGAATTCAATAATTTAGCCATAAAATAGTAACTTACTTCATCCTTGTGGCATGGAAAACAAAAACAAATAATCTCATTAGAGAAAAGTAAGTATGATCCACTAAGAACCGCATGTGCCGTATGTGGGCGCCGGTTCCCAGTCCACTGGATCCAGAGAGAGAGAGGGGCCACCCATGGGCTCTTGCCCAGACACCCACCCACCCACCCAATGAGACAGCCTGTC